TTTCGCCACTTCTTTGGGTCTCCATTTCCTTATGGGGGCTCCTCCCATGTCATATAAAATTTGTATTAAGTAAATTGTATGCTTTTCTGTCTTATGTCAATTTAATTCTGAGGCCTAGCAAACACTGAAAGAAGGTGGAGGTAAACTTCTGCATCTCCTGCCTTTTCCTTAGGTAGGGAGGTGTGTGTGAGGGACAGGGGTGTGTGTGAGGGGCAGGGGTGTGTGTTTGAGGGGTAGGAGTGTGTGTGAGGGGCAGGGGTGTGTGTTTGAGGGGTAGGGGTGTGTGTGAGGGGCAGGGGTGTGTGTGAGGGGCAGGGGTGTGTTTGAGGGGCAGGGGTGTGTGTGAGGGGCAGGGATGTGTGTGTGAGGGGCAGGGGTGTGTGTGAGGGAGGGGCAGGGGTGTGTGTGAGGGAGGGGCAGGGGTGTGTGTGAGGGAGGGGCAGGGGTGTGCAGGGGGACCCAGCTGAGCAGCTATGTCAGCACATATATTCTTGACTAATTTTTTTCACTATGACTCAGTTAAAACATTTTTAAAAGAAATTAATTTATATTTTTGTTTGCATTTAATTAAAAAAAAAACTCCAATAGTGCTAGAAGGGGAAAGGGTCTGGGGAGGCGTGCTTTCATATTAGGGTCCAGACTTTGATCCCGTGTCCGGTATTCTATTTGCCCTTCCACCCCTTCTCGCACACCATCCCTCCTGCAGTTTTTCCAGAGAAGTTATAACCCCCTCCTCCTATAAGGATGAGGTGCACAGGAAGCCAGGATCTGATTGCTCCGTAAAGGGAAACTCAGCCATTTCCTCTTGTTTTCACCATCCCTCACCTGCACCCCCCAGACTTCCATGGCAGCCAGGTCTGTAATTCTGAACGTCTGTGGAATTCTGTTTTGACTTTGCTATACAGATCCCTTACCATTCCTCCACTTGCCGTCCTTCTTCATGATTTGGGATTCTGTAGCACATACGTTCTCTTCTGTGCAGCCGTGTGAACACGTTCTCAGAGCTTCCACTCAGGGAGAAAGACTGACCCAGGGCTGGTGCTCACCACTGAGCGCTGTGTTTTACAAATGTTGCTCTGTTGGAGTCCATGGCCTCCTTCCTCTGCTGGGTGAGGCCTCTTCTCTTGCTGCACATGGAAGCCTAGGAATTTATCTTGGAATGGAGCCCATACAATTCCATAGCAGTGCCATAGTTAGTGGCAGAGAGAAGGCTGACTCTCTCCTGTTTGCATTCAATACTGGCGAATGGGTCTCCAAACAGTTGCTTGTACCGGCTGGGTTTAAGTTTAGAACATCTCTCTCTCTCTCTCTTTTTTTTTTTACTTTTTACTTTTTTATTTTTGTATTTATTTATTTTAAGTATATTTTATTGACTATGGTATTACAATTGTTCTAATTTTTTCCCCTTTGTCCTGTGCTGCCCAGTATACCTCTTCCCTCCAGCAACCCGGCCCCCGCCTTAGTTCATGTTCATGCGTCATGCATGTAAGTTCTTTGGCTTCTCTATTTCCTATACTACTCTTAAAGAACTCCTGTCTATTTTGTACCTACCAGTTATGCTTCTTAGTTCCTGCACCTTTCTCCTCATTCTCCTCCTTCGCCCTCCCAGGTGATAGATAACCTTCCCAATGATCTCCATATTTATGATTCTGGTCCTAGAACACATCTCTTTTATCATTACTCTTAGTGCTCCCTCTGTTGGACCAGACATGTGCACAGTTCAGCTGGGGCCAAGCCCAAATGACAATCACTTTGATATTCTAGGAAATATCACTTCCCTGGCAATTAGAACAACCTCCTCAGTGGTGTTTTCAGCTTCTGTCACCCCAGACATTCCTAAAACATTTCATTGCCCTGGCTCAAAAGCCTTCCATATATCACTTTTCTTTTTCACATTGACTAAAGTCAAAAGGCCTCAAATTGGACCTCTTTGGACTCCATTTGGGGCCCTTTATTATCTGGCTTCATGCTACCTTTGCAGGTGAATCTCTCACTCTTCCTCTGTGCCAGTTCTCCACTCCCATTGGATTAACTACTTGCAGCTTCTCAATGTGGTCATGTTTAGGTCAGAGTCTTCTTTTCCCACTCCAAATATTCTTTTCATGTCCTTAGGTCAAGGTCAAGGCTGTCTTCCTTTTTGAAGCATTCCCTATCCCAATCCTAGCTCTCTGCAGAATTTTATGGTATTTGTGGTTGCAGCTTTCACTTGATAATTATACAGATATGCATATTCATGTGTAGTGATCTCAAAAAACACCCTGCCTCTCTGGCTTTCACAGATCTTTTCCTCTGGGTGCAAATACCATTGAAGGGAAGCTGCAGGATTCCTTGGTGCTGATTAGTAGTAGTGATCCGTGAAGAAGAGGTAATGGTGTTGCCTTGGATCTTGGAAAAAGACCAGAACTTGGCTCCTGCAGCTCTGCGGAGCCAGCAATTCTGAGGGCTTGGGCAGTTTTGCCTCTGAGCCTGGGGGGCTGATGTGTGGGCCCCACCTGTGTGCAGCCCTTTGTCTCCAGTGGCCTTCTACATACAGTTGAGTGGGTTTCTGTTCTTCAGACTCATGTATCTGGACCTCAGGGTCTTAGTGCCTGCTTCTTGCACTGCTTGGAATCCCCTTAGTGCCAAAGTTTTAGTGTGGCTGTCTCTTTTAATGCAGCTACCTGTCTAAATATTCCCATTTTAGTCCTTTTATATCTAAATTAACCTGAACCCAACAGTTTCTATGGCATTGCTCTTTCTTTTACCTACTCCAGGTTTTTATTTGAATTAAGATAAAAGGTAGGTAGTTTCCAACAACTTTCTAAATTTTCATAAAAGATATTTTTACAGGGTCTGGTAATTAAAAAAAAAACTTTAAATTTTATTTTTCAATTACCACTTATTTTTTTACTTGCTTTTATTTTGCTCTATGAGCTTACAGGGACTGTATCAGTCTTGTTCATTCTTGAGTTCTCAGCCCTTAGAGTGATGCTAGGATATAGTAGGTGCTCAATACATGTTTATTGAATGAGTGAATAACTGGGAAAGGACCTTTGGGGAGCTTCCTGCTCTTGAGTAAATAGCAGTATATGTAGCTCTTTCTGTGTTGGAGGAGAGGGAGGGGAGGATGTATGTCAAATGACTTCAACCAGTGCTCTGCACCCTGTCTCTCCTCAGGAAGCACCCAGGTTTTGAAGGAGAACTCCACCCATGGCTCCCAGGACTCAGGCAGCTGGGTGATCCTCTAGTTATCCCAGAATATGACTCGGCCCAACCAGACACCCCCCACAGAGTCCTCTGGCCCTGTTGGCCGCATAGGAACTCTGTTCAGTTGGTTGTAGTGTTGGTTGGGGGGTGTCCCTAATTGCCTTTGCATTTGCAGACTTCAGCCTAGCAAGCTATCATGCTAGAACAGTGATTATTGAGTGCATTTCATCTTTTGACAATTTATCTTTAGTATTTTTATTTTTTCAACTTTCTCATTGTAGTGTATTTCATATACTGTAAAATGCACAAATATGAAGTGAAATTTTACATCTGTATATATCTGTGCCAGCGTTAGGTAGGATAGGTAGCAATCTAAGGCCCGGAGGAGGAGGGAGACATGCTTCATTCACTACTTAGCAGTCCTGAGCCTGGTCCAGTGAGATTGTGGGCATTCCAAACATCACAAGCAGGGGTAGCACAGGAGGAAAGTCCTTGAGACTCTGTACTGAGAATTTCACTAAGACAATTTCACTAAGACAAAGAGCCTTTAATAGCTGAGAAAGAAAGCCTTTGTAGGAAAGGGAACCAAGAAGCTGACTAAGGTATATAACGCCTGAACTCCAATAGTCTGCTCACTCAGATTAGCCAGGTGTCCACTTGTAGCATTGGCTTAAGTGTATAGAACAAACTTACAACTTTTTCCCCTCTATACATGGGGCATTTAGGCTAGCTGGGTGCCTGCCTGTAGTTTCATACTAGTGTGTTTCATAAATAACCTTTCTATCTTATTTCCACTATACGTGTTTTCTCTTGCTTGAATTTGTCTTTTGAGAGCGAGGCAAGAACTGAAGAACAAGCTGGAGGTGGGGGCCTAGCTCGGGTTTCTCCCTGGTGACACAGCCACCACCCAGACCGGGATATATTCAGCCCCCTAACAGATTCCTTTATACTCACACCCAAGTGATAGCCCTTACTGGTAACCTAGTCCCTACAGATTATTTCACCTTTTTTTGGAAGGTCAGGTAAAATGAATTTTTAAAAAGTGGCCGCCTCGCTTGACACTGCATGAGGGAGTGGGCTAGAGCTTGTGTATGATCCTTCCCTCAGTCTGCAGCCCTGTAATCAGGTTCTGCAGGGTTGGCCTCACGACTCACTGCATGAGCCCCCAACAACTTGTTTAACCTTGTTGGTTTCATCATCTACAAGGTGGAGGGAATAATCATTCTTCCTTTGGAAAGTGCTTGTTGAGTTCCTGATATATGTAAAGTGCTTCCTACGGTGCCCGGCACATAGTGGGTGCTTGCTAAGTATGTTGGGTGAATATAACTTCACATACATTCTTAGGCGTTCATTAAACATACATTGTAAGAATCTGTTAGATATATTCTTGTTTGTAGTATGGCTTCCTCTGGCCTTCTGTGAACTATCTTATACCTCCAGGACTTCAGCGTAGGGATTTTGTGTGGCCCACGACCTCTCAAAAAATTCTTGCGTTTTATGTAATTAAACACTGTGACTTGGATTTTACCAGGCAATTACTGGGGGATTTGGGGAAGAGGATCATTTCTGGGAGAAATGTGCCAGAAATGTCGATCTTTTTTAGTATGGACACTTCGCTTTCATACAAGAAACATTTATGGAACAAGTGCAAAGCTCTGTCCTTTTCTTTAATGTTTTATTCACTCTCTCACTCACTCACAGACCCAATCTTCCCTGCAACTCACTCCCAAGGAAACTGCTCAGGACGACAGGCGGTTCCTTTAAGGCCCTGGAAAGGGTCTCAGTGTAGGTTACACCATCGAAGCCACGCCCCGTCACGTGTCCCAGCGGGGCGGAGCCGGTGTCTCCTGGCTTCCGTCACGTCCGGTTCTCTGTCAGTCCTGAGCGAGAGAGCACGGGGCTGTTAGGAAGCAGGAGCGGAGCGTGAGTACGCGGGACTCCGCCCCCAGCCCTCGAACCCCGTACCCTGCTGACCTCTTCACCCTCCCTCCCGGGCTGCGCACCATCTGCGGCCCGTCGCTCTTCTCGGGGGGTGACGGCCGCGGGAAATGGCGGCGCTGCCTGACCTACCCCTTCCCTGCTTCGGCCTCCACGGACCCCTCCTCCGTCTCTGACGCCCTTCCTCTAACTACGACCCCGTGGCCCTTGTGCTGCAAACCCTTGCGCGTCAAAAGCCAGGCCTTGAAAATGGCCCGGAGCAGGGGTGGGCACGGTGGCCTGGGATTTTGGGCGCGGCCGGGCGCGGAGTCCCGGGGAGGGGTTCGGGGCACCCCCGGGACAATGCAGCGGTGGCTGTGGCTGTCTCCGGCCCGGCACGGGCTGGGGCGCGTGCAGGGTCTGCCTTTTCCCGAGGCTTCGCGGAGTCCCCACCCTCGTTTCCAGGGTGGGGGGCGCTCTAGGGAAGCAAGCTGCTTGCTTGCTCGCTCGGATCGAGCAGATCCGATTGGGGTAGCATGGCGGGTGGGGGGCGGCTGGTTTGCAGGGGGCAGCGAACGCTTCGAGGGAAGAAAATGGCGCTTGTTGCAAGTCCCTCCTCTTCCCGCACGGTCTCCTCCGCACTTCGCCACCTCCCACGCCCCCGTCGACCAACCTGTCCCCTGCGAGGCTCCAGCCGTTTCCAGCCCAGGAGTTCTAGCAGGCTTCCTGCCACCGCGAGACCCCCTGCCCGGGACTTGTGCTCGTCACTCTCGTTCATGTGCCCTTTAGTCTTGGTTTATTTTCACATCGTCTTTCCTAATCCAGCACGCTATCGATGACCAAAGACTTAGTTTTCTTAATTTGGGTTTTGTATATATTCTACACTAGTGATTTTAGTATCATTTGCCTGAATTACGAGTCTGCTTTTTTTTTTTTTTTTTGCCGGGGGGGTAGTAAAGGCACATTAAATATAAATATCTATCTTGTCAAAAGTTCTTAAGAGGCTGGCTATACAATTACCTGTTTCTTCTTAAAGGACTAACTGGGTTAAATAGGAGGGTGTTTTCTGAAATGATCTTAGGCCCCCAGGCAGCTTTTAACAGATGGCATAGTTATGCTAGGCTGTTCCAAAGCGAAAAATGGGTTTAATTTAATTACCTTTAAAAAATGTGTGTTGGCATTATCAGCATCTAGCATACAAAATTGAATTGATTTGGAGATGAGATTGTAAAATGGAGCAGTAACAGGGATAATGCGTAAAACGTGGTTATGAATGTTGCTCCTCCCAAGAATGTTACTTTTCAAGAAATTACCAGGAAAGTCAACATGGCTGGGTTGGGTTGGTGTCAGCTTTTAGAATTTAGTGGCTAGGTTTGGGATGGCCCACTTCTTTTACCTTGACCTCCTATTGTGGAACACATTGAATGCCAGTGCCAGTTCAAGTTAAGTCTAGAGCTAGATTATGATTTTTTTAAAGGAGAAAATGAAGTCCTTTTTTCCTTTTTATCCAAACATTTATAGTCTGTGTTGTGTGTATTGGGCCCTTTAGGGCCTACAAAAATTAATGGCTCAGTCTAGGCAGAGAAGGAGATGGAATGAGCTAGAGATACTTTGATAATAAGCATTTTACCACCTGGTATTGTAAGTGCCTTGAAAATAAGTATAGCATGCTTTGGAGTTTCTTGAAATTGGGGGTTTAGGCCTTAAAAAAAGCAAACCCCTAAAAGTAAATGCAACGAGGTACCCTGCCTTGCTGCGTTCAGTCAGTAAACACCTACTCGAAGGCACCGGGCTGTGTACTGGGTTGGCCAAAACTGTTCAGTATTTTCCATAAGAATAAAGACACATTTTTCATTTTCACCAATAGCTTTATTGACTTGGGTATTTTGATTATGTTGTCTATCTCTTGCTATATAGTCTTCTAGTGGGTAGAGGTCAGGGGTGTTGCTAAACACCTTCCAATGCATAAGACAGCCCCACAGTAAAGCATTATTTGGCCAAAGTGTCAGTAATACCAAGAAACTTGCCAAAACACTTGAAAGGTTCAATCACTTGCAGCACCTTCTCCACACACTGCACTATTCTGTATTTGTGTTTTAGCTGCATTTTTACCTTTCTTGAAGTAATAAAGTATAATATGCCAGACACATTGTGTATCTTTTCCCATCTTCAATATTAAAATAGCACAAAAATTCCAATTACGATTTTTAAAAAATGCATGCTGATATGACAGCTGTCACAATCCAGTGTAACAACATTGCTTTGAGTGAAGTTAAAGGCATTACTAGAGCCTTGTATGAAAAAAACTAAATAAACTTTCTGACCAACCCAGTATCTTTGTCTTGGAGAACCTGAAGAAGTAGGGTCCTAGTGGGAGTTTGAGGAAAGGTTTTGCTTCTCCTAAAAGCAGGTTTTAAAAATTCTGGTGTATTCCAACTAGAAAATCAGCGTAAAATGTAACAAGCTGTAGATTATGTGTAACTTGGTGAACTCTGAATTAGTACTTATTATTTGATGGCATGGTTAAAAAGCCAAATAAAATTAAGAACAGACAAAATATGAAAAATAGTATTACAATGGCAAATTAATTATATCAACATCTAAAATGCAACTGTTCCCTGTGTTGTGTGAATGTTATGGTCATTGCTTACAGAGAATAATTTCCTGCTAGGTTTTGTCAGGGAGAAGTAGAAAGCAGTACTGAGAAGATTCATATTTTTCCCTGGCTTTAACAGTTGCTTGTAAGCTGCTTCTTGCAAAGTGACCTGCTCATAAACATCTAACCCCCTAAAATGAAGTAGAAAAAGACCCATTGGTGTAAGAGGGAGATGTGTGTGACATTTCTCCTTGGTGGGTCAGAACACTATACTCTGCATGTTTTCAACTCGAAAGAGCATAGATCAGACTGTAACTTACAGCATTGTGCTCAGTATAAGCACTCCAGTATCACAAAGTGGTAGAATGAATTGTGGAACTTCTTACATTTCTGATTGTGGGAGAGAGTTAAATTGAAGGTAATAGAACAGCTTATACGTTACTTACACAGTGTGTTTTCTTTCAGAATGCCTAAATCAAAGGAACTTGTTTCTTCGAGCTCTTCTGGCAGTGATTCTGACAGTGAAGTTGACAAAAAGGTGACTATTCCTGGACCAAGTCCTTTCTGTGTACTTAGTTCAGCAGGATTGTCCATAGCCGCTTCTGAGGGACAGCAAGGTGTGCCAATCTCCCAGTGAAAGCCTGGAGGGCTGCTTCTGAAAGTGCATATGGCCCCGGGGCCACTCCACGAAAATGCCTCGGGTGCTGGCTGGTATACGCACACTCCTAGCCTCTGAGTCAGACTGGCCAGCCTCGGATGAGGAACCCCAAAGCTGCAGGACCACTGCCATGGACCCCAGGGGAATAGCATTAGAATAAGGTCAAAGCCACTGATTGCCATTATTTAGAAGTCTGTAGCTATTATATGAGGTAGTGGATCCAAGTGATCTGAACCCCTTTAATGCTGATGTCAATTTTGACAGCCTTCTCAGCCACTGGTGTTTATTGAGTCCACAGGTATTACTTCAAATGTAAGCTTGGTACCTTTTAAGTTACAATGTTATTTGCCCTGGTCCCCTCCTTTTAGTTAAATCAACACCCAGCGAAGCTGACAGGAAATTACCCATTTAGACAGAATAGTCTTTTTCTGCATTAATTGACAACTGCACTGTAAGTGGTACATGATTTCCCTTAACTGAGCACCTCACACTTCACTCAGGGCTTCCTTTGTGCAGACCTGTCCTTCTAGAAGCTTCCATAGTTGTGTCTCTGAGCTTAGTTAACCTGACAGTTAAAAGAGAGCTTAATAAGGGAGAATCTTGTAGAAGATGGACCTTTATGGGGAAATACACAATATAATATCATCTGGAAGGTTGAAACAAAACTTCAAAGAACATACATATGTGTAGTAGGAAGTCTGTCAGTTTTTTAATTCACATGTAACATAGCATTTGAATATGTTCATTTAACATTTTCATTGAACTTTTTACATGCCAGCCCACAGGGAACATCTAGACAGACCCTGTTGTGAAGAATAGTTGCTTTTGCTCATTGAGCTGTGTTAATTTAGGCTATTTGTCCCAAATAGTACTAATAATTTTGTAAGGACTTAGCATTTTCTTGCATATGTATATTATATTTTACCTACCTTCATCCAAATTCAGTAAAACATTAAATTATGAAGGTGGGAAAAAGTCAGTTTATAGTTGTAGAACACAAAACAGTTTATTCTGTAATTTATTGTTATTTGTATTACAATTGTAAAGCTACTCTTGCTCACAATACTAGCTTTTGCTTTCCACCGAAGAACATGACTGCCCTCTACTGGTTTTTGTGGGTGGTTGGCTCATTTTGAGAACGGGGCTATATTAAAAACTTTGGCAGTAGGGCTACTTTTAAGGCATTGTTTTGATTTTGAGTGCTAGTCATACACTTCACTGTCTATCTTCAGTGGTTTTTTTGTGATGAGGAAGTTCTCGAGTTAGTTACTTGTAGTGCCCAGTACAAAGTAGGTTTCATAGCTTTGCCTGCTCATAAATTCCTTGAGCCAGATTAAGTCTTTTGGAGTCAGCAAAGCATAAATACATATCATATCCTAGAAATGGAGTAAATCATTGTATTCATAGTTAGCATATTCCCTTTGTAGCTTTAGTAGACTGGTTTCCAAAAGTTTGAAAGCAGCAGGTCCCTCATCTTTTTGTTGTTACTGTTTCTCCCAAAGAAACCGGATGTGGGATCCTGGTCTACAAAATAACTTTTCTGCTTAATGCCACTCTTAATTGCTAAAGTATTTTTGGGCTCCTGAGAACAGTTTGAAAACACTGTTATGTATCAGTGGTAGGTTAGTTTCAAAGTTTCATTGTCATGTGCAACCTGATAAAGTTTGTATTTATGATTTTTTACGTAATAAATGTAGTCTTTTGGTCCTTTAAATCATAAAAAGTAGTGGACTCTTGCTCAGGCTGGTGTGGCCCAATGGATCTGTCACCGGTTCAGTTCCCAGTCAGGGCACGTGCCTAGTTTGTGGGCCAGGTCTCTAGTGGGGGGGTACGTGAGGGGCAACCAATCATTGTTTCTCTCCCTCCTTCCCCTCTCTAGAATAGATGGATAAAATCGTAAAAAAAAAAAAAAAAAAAAAGTAATGGAATCTTTTGAACCTGGCAGTGTAGACATGTCCAAACCTGTAGAGAATTTTTGTGGTTTATTTGAGTCAAACTGATAACATTGTTGGGAACCAAGATCTAAATGCACTGGAGGACAGTTTGTGTTTGTAGTTTATCTTGTACATTTGGAGTTAGGAAGGGAATGTAAAGAATGTGCATGAAGGTGGGAGAAAGCAAGGCAGGGATTGGATTACTGGGTAGTTAACCAGATCTTGTATTCTCTTGAGGGTGATTGTTTAAACTTTTCAGGGTCTGAAAAAGACATGTAAAACGTGTGTTCACCTAGATGCACAGGAACGGCGGACTGGGCTTAGTGCAGAGACACCCCTTTCACTGGAAAGCCCCAGGCCTGCGGTGCGACTGCTCACCATGACCTGCCCAGTTAGGAATTTGTGATGAGATTGTCCTGTGAGGTTACTCTTGGTCACTGACCTCATACATATGCCCTTTCTTGTCTGTAAACCTGAGATGTGTTTTATTACTTAGTGTGCAAATTTTAATCATATTCATGGTTTTTTTTTTCAAGTTAAAGAGGAAAAAGCAAGTTACTTCAGAAAAACCTGTAAAGAAGCAAAAGACTGGTGAAACTTCAAGAGCCCTGTCATCTTCCAAGCAGAGCAGCAGCAGCAGAGACGACAACATGTTTCAGGTTGGTTATTGTCATAGGCCCAGGGGATTTATTATCCGGTTTCATCTGAAGAATCATAGAAGTGCCTTAATCTAATACTGGAATGCATAATCTTTTATATATGTTATAGTCCTCTTGTCTGAGGATATTCATTGAAATATAAGAACAAGTTAGTTGAAACGAAAGTAATTTATAAGATGCTGGAAATTTTTTAAAAAGATTTTCTTTAGACAGAGGGGAACAAAGGGAGAAAGAGAGGGAGCAAAACGTCAGTGTGTGGTTGCCTCTTGTGCGCCCCCTACTGGAGATCTGACCTGGTCTGCAACCCAGGCATGTGCCCTGACTGGGAATTGAACTGGTGACCCTATGGTTCGCAGGCCTGCAGTCAATCCACTGAGCCACACCAGCCAGGGCTGATGCTGGAATTTTTCTTGATGAGTTTAATTGGAGTCAAACTGAAAACATGCCTGGGAGCAAGATCTCAAATTCTCCCTTTGTGATGATGCTAGATTATTGTTAAAATCCAGATGACTGTAGTTTTGCTATATTTAAAACAATGTGGATGTAAAAACTATAGACATCCAAAAGAAGAGGTTGAGGTTGCACATTAGAAAGTAGTTGGAGGAGGTAGGTCTAGTTTTGGGCTGTGAAGTATCCGGTACGTACAGGATGTTGGAGAGGGAACAGCAATAAGATTTGCCTGGTTTGGGCTGGACAAGAACAGAAAAGGCCAGTAGGTTTACTAACATAGGCCCTCTGTTGTCGAGAATGAGGTGCAATAGTAAGGTAACGGGAGGGAAATTTCTTTTCTTGGGTGTCATATCTTGTTTTAGGGGGACTGTTATTGGCATCATTGTACAGTATAAGGATTTGTGGGGAGAGGCAGTGGGGCTAAGTGAATCGGGTAATTTATTGTAGGCCTTAATCTGTGAGTGAGGTGATAGGGGCTTAAATGGTTTTTCCCAAAGGAGAAATGATGATTGTAAATTACTGATGAGGAAAAACGGACTAGAGAAGTGAAACAGTCAATGAAGATTGATTGTAAATTTGAGAGACCATAGAAACACAGGTTTAATTAATAGAAATGAGGGAAAGAAATTAGTTTTAATGGCAAAGGTGGTTAGGTTTGGCTTCTTGGACCTGATTGTAAATGTGATGAAATAAGAGTGTCCTGTGGCCCTCGGAGGGCGTGGTTGGGGATGTTCCTGGGCGATGGTCGGCATGGTGGACGGAAGTGGGTGTAAGTCGGAGGGCGGGGAGGAGGGGCTGAGGACCTGTCTCCTTGGTCGGTGTTCAGGGAGGAAGGAAGAGGGATGTAGGCCAGAGAAGGTGAGGGGAGCAGAAGAGAACGGGAAGGAGGGCAAGCACAGAGGGAGTGTTCCCAGGAGGTCTGTGTATTTGAAGCCAAAATGTTGGGCAGAATGAGAGTGCTAACATTTGGTTAGAAAGCAAGGCCAACACACACACACACACACACACACACACACACACACACACACAGTACATATTTATGTCATTATACACACAGTTGACTGAGTGAAGTCTTGAAATTCGAGTGCCAGGATTAAGGTGCAAATGGGAAGATAGGAGTTTGATTTTTTTACTTGCTTTTGCTTTGTTGTCTGTCTGGATAAAGAAGGTAGATAGCCACATAGTTACTGTACTTGATACTGGATGCTGGAAGCATGCTAAGGTTTCAGGTGCACTGATCAGACACCAAAAATGGTAACACTGAGAAGGTGGTATGCTAAGTATTGGACTGTAGTGATCATTTCACTGTGAACATTTATGTCAAATCCTGGCGCACACTTCAAGTATATACGATTTTGATTTAAAATACACAGAAAAAGAAAATAAGCAAATGCAGACAAATGATTTAGTTATGGGTTTAGTTCTTTGATTTCTGTATCCTATAGAGGAAGTAGGAACAGACTAGGTTAATTGGATAGAGAATAGAATGAATTTTTCATACCATAAGATGCACCTAGGTTTTAGAGGAGGAAAATAGGAAAAAAATTGAAAAAATGTGGTAAAATATTTAATAACATAAATAACATAATATTTCACCAATGTAAATGTAAACAGAACTCAACAGCATTAACAACTATCATTGCTCCCAATGGGGGTGGGGCGGAGTGGAGTGTGTCTTATAGTCCAAAAAATATGGGTAAGTTGCTGTTTGTAAGAGTTAGGAAAGGGTGCTGTTTCGGTGACTGGATGAAAAGTTGAATGCTCACTGTGTTTCATTCAGGCCTTGCTAAGTTCTGGATATGCACTGATGAACCAAGGGGATGGGGTCTCTGGTTTCATGGGATTTATGGGGGTAAAAGTTATACACACAAATATACATACAATCATACCTTGGTACTTGTCAGCTTCAGAACTCGTCAGACCGTGTACTTACTGCATTTTGATGAGAAAAAAATGTTTCAGCATTTGGTACTTCGTTTGGGACTCATCAAGCTAGCTAGAACTTGTATGAGTCATGACCCTCTGCCCCAAGAGAAAATGCTTCATCGTTTGGTAACATCAGGAGTTCTGGAGTGAATGAACGATGAGTACTGAGGTACCACTGTTAAATAAAATCGTAAGAGCTGCCCTAGCTGGCCTGGCTTGGTTGGAGCATTGTCCTGTACACCTGAAGTTTGGGGGTTGAATTCCTGGTCAGAGCACATACCCTACCTAGGTTGTGGGTTCAATTCCTGGTCAGGGAATTTGTCTCGTATCAATGTTTCTCTGTCTCCCTCTGTCTCTAAAATCAATAAACGTAAAAATAAATCATCGGTATCCTGACTGGGTCCCTCAGTTGGAGCATCATCCTGTGCATCAAAAGGTTGCAGTTTCCATCCCCTGTTGGGGGTGGACGAGAGGGAGGCAACTGACCTATGTTTTTCTCTCACGTCAAGGGTTCTGTCTGTCTCTGCCCCTTCACTTTCTCCCTTTCTTAAAATAAAGTAAAATGATAAGGTCTAAGAAGTAAAAGGGTAGATTATTGTGAGAGAGAAGGAGCCTGGTCATCTTCTAAGGAATTGGCACTTGACACTTAAGACAAAGGAGGAGCCCAGGCTACTTAGCTCAGTTGGTTAGAGTGTGGCCCCCATGCACCAAGGTTGAGGGTTCGATTCTGGTGAGGGCTTATACAAGAAACACCTCCCCCTACCAAAAGAAAGATGGAGGAAAGGAAGAGCCGGTCCTGTGAAGTGTGGGGGAGAGGGACTCATGTTGGAAGTAGAGGAAATGTGCGAATACCTTGACGTGGGAAAGAACTTGGATTGTGCTGGAGTTACAAAGCCCTGGTGGCTGGAGTCTTGAAAGTCTGGTGGAGAGCAGCTGGGGGGTTTAGTGGGTAAGGAGGGGGAAGAGCCAGGTGCGGCAAGGCCTTCCCGTTGAGAGGCCGTTTTTAGGAGTTTGCGTTTTATTCAAAGTGCAGTGGGAAGCTGTCTTAAAAGGCAGAATGAAATGTGAAATCTGCAAAAAGAGTATCCTTTCCTTTTATGTAAAACCTGCAAAAAAGTATCCTTTGTATACACTTTCCTCCTGTGTAGAATGAAGGGCTGCTTTGGGATATTTTAACTTAATGTTTGCGGTGTAGGAAAACACTTTCAGGTATTTGGGCAACTCTGTTGGGCTTTTCTCTGATTAGTTCTGTTCACCGTATACCTGCCTATACCCCTATGATAGCTAGAGCACCTTTGGCCTATTAATGGCCGATTAGTGAATTTTATTTTGTCATTCAGCCTGTAATTTTATATGAAAAGAAACCAGGACACACATTTAGAGCTCTTACTCTACTGGATTCAGGAAAACGAGGTCTATTTTTAGGAGTGGTTATTATCTCACCAAAAAATGTGAGTCCAACTCAATTTGGAAATCTTCTCATACCTGATATGGCTGTTACACTTCTCACCCTTCTGAAAATGCCTTTAGGAGGAGCATAAGCCTTACTTTCAAAGTAATTTTTCACAGACCTGGTGGTGAAGGCCTTGTAAGAGATAATATTGATTTCATTATTGTTCATTGTAGCTTTTTCCTTGAAATGGTATTTTGGGCATAGAAAAGTATTTAGGTGATAATACTGAATTTTAATTGGCTTAAGAGCACATTAGAGTACACTGACTATATAATATAAAATCAGGACTTTATTAATACTAATGGTTTGATAGTTTTATAAGATGAAGGATGGGGTTTTGGGAAGGAAAATCAGTTATTCTCATTGTGCTTTGTAAAGTAGTTTTTTCCTTTTTAAAAAAAATAGCAGTATGTGTTTTCTACACTTCTAGAAGACAGCTCCCAGAAGCTTTGGGAAGCTTTCAGGACCCAGCTTATCAGTTACTACTTTACCAGAAACAGATAGATCTAAAATCTTAAATTAAAATTCTTTGGCTAGTAACCATATGGCACTTTTTTTTAACTTAACTATTTCTCTGGAGACTAGAACTAGATGAAGTAAACTGTCGGTTGGTAGAGCGGTGTCCTGCAGACGTAAGCAGCTCTCTGAACGGTGCACTCACTGATCTTTGAACCTGTAGAGTGACTTGGGCAGAACTCTGGCTGGAGAGGAAGTGCTACTAGATGCTTGCCTTTGTCTGGTTCCGTCGGCACTGAATTTTAAGAGCGAGGTTCCGCAGGGATGTAACCTGCCCAAGGTAGGACTTCTGTGATATTAAAGATGGTCTGGGGAACCAGCTCGTGATTATTCAGTGTCTTAAGGGCCAGAATGGTTGAGACGTAGGGGACTTTGATCTATAGGATCTGACACAAATAACACCCCTTTATATTACAAAATCTTTTATTAAAAACCATAAGCTTGTAATTCCGTAACATAACAATATCACACTCAAGCATACCGTGTGACATTTTAGGTGACATATTTGAATTAAAGCTACAAATTATTACACCTATTATTACCCTACCAACCACGTTCAAGCAGACGTTACCTCTGGACCCTGTATATTTTTCTTCAGAGGTAGCCATGAGGGTTAGCGATACCACCTTAGTTGATTTGGTGCTTCTAAATTAGG